ATAATGGTATGGAGTCTAGTCTACTGCGGTAGTATTGTCGGGATGTGATCACAACCACGAACAAGTGCAAAAAAGTATTAGAAGAAATAATACTTTCAGAGTTTCTTTACTTTTTTAGTTTATCGATCACGTGCTTTAAACAACATCTACATTTTTACAATGGTCATAAAGTTAGTAAGCATTTAAAATGAGCTAGCTATTATTGAAAATAGTTTCTTCTATTGCTTAACGTGAAATGATACTACCAAACACGGACGATATTACAGAAAATTCCTTTCCACGGTACCACGGAACGGTAACGATTGTTATTAATTTTTTCGATGGTATTCCGCTGCAAGGGAACAACATGCCCGGGAGCTCTGGCTTACTACGTCTGACGGCCAACTATATACAGCCACCATAGACTACCGACCGTTACGCCTAGCAATAATGGATATCAGCCATTATTTCTACACTTATTTGTGTCAGTGGATACATTCGTCGTCTAACATTTGTATGAGACTGTAAATTAATTTTGAGGTGTCAGCCTTCTATTTTCGTAATGAAATGCCCAAAGACATTTTCTGAAATTGGATTTCCATGTATAAAATTCCAATAAAAATATATTCAACACATTAATCAAAAATTTGTTTTAATGTAAAAAAGGAATTTTCAAAATAAAAAAAAATCCAAAAAATCGGCAGGTTCATATTATGTATATAGTGCGGCAGTAATATGATGGCTACATGTAAAATATATAAGGTTAACATAACATAACATTTAATCAATACAATTTATAGTTTATATAGAATAGGGAGCAAGCCAAACAATTTACCTATTTACATTTTCTGCGACATATGGCTATTTTGTCTATTTCATCATCAGTGGTACAAAAGGTTTGAATAAAAAAAATGCACGTGCAAAGTGCTCCGAAATATATATCGCAATAAAGAAGGGGGATAACTGCCTATAAAACACTTGATACCGTTACAGATGTCAAATTTTCGGCTACAGCAGATAATTCAGATTTAAACTAGCGGTTCGTGCAAAGCGTGCTAGAACAAAGGATTTGTGCTGCATGATGCTTTAGTGCTTCAGTAAGCCATACAAACGTAAGTCTTTTATCAGAATTTAAATCTTGGAAATCATCCTCAAATGTCGTTTTCTTTTTATTAGCAGTCAGGGCATAGAAAAGTATCGGAGAAAAGTTGAAAAGGGGCGAAATATGGTATTTTGTTCAAGTGAGTATAAAAAATACATATATTAGTTATGACTTTTTGTATTCTTTCTGAAAATATGCTTCATAGAGAATAATACATGCCGTTTTCCATATCACACCCAGTATCAACCCGAGACTGCAATATCAGCCCAAGGGCTGATATTGGTCAAGGGTTAATACTGGGTGTGATATGGAAAAAGGTGTGTTTTATTCTGTTTATTACATACTGACTAATAAAAACTACTTTCTTATGATCTATTTTTCTTTTCAAATATTGAAAAACCAAAATTTTCCAAAAGTTGTTTGATACAGGTTTTGTGGGCTGATACTGAGAGGGCTGATACGGGTTTTGGGGTGTGATACGGCGAGAGTTAATATGGGTTAGAGCAATTGTGTCGTATCGCATATATATATATAAAAAAAAGTATTTATTAGAAAGTATGTAATAAAACCAATTAAAGTCACTACTGTCTATTTGAAAAGGACCAATATAATTTAAAAAAAATCACACAACCTTAAACTAGTTTTTTTAAGACTTTATCTAATTTGCCGTACTAGTTATATTTCATTATATTACATTGTCACATTCAAACATCAAAATAAGAAGTTTAATCAGTTTTGGCTACATACAGCGAAGGAGATCTTTTCCTGATATAATCAATACGACTGGAAAATCAAACGGGAGTCGCGGTGGTCAAGTGTTTAAGGCGTCTGACATTCTGCTACCACTAGCCCTCAACCACTGGGTCGCAAGTTCGAGGCCTACGTGGGGCAGTGATTTTTCTCCGGGAACTCCGACTTTCCTCCACCATCAAAACCTGGCATGTCCTTAAATGACCATAGTTGTTAATAGGACGTAAAACACAAACAAACCAAACTGGAAAATCAAACTAATCCATAAAGTGTACATGTAGTTGGTGGAGTAACATTGCAATGTCTTTGCTAAAGTTCATTTAAACGTCATGCAAAAATAGAAAGGCCGAAAGTGTAGCACCCTGTTTTATGCATCTAACACCGCTAAACAAGAACAAAATTTGAGTACCTCGGCCTTTTGTGCAGTTATCAAACTTGTTAGCTTTTCCTTTCTCTTTCCTTGAAAAATTGTTGAAATTGTATGAACGTTATCAAAATTAAGCTTGCATGTAACTTCCTATATTATATCAAATAATTTCCAATTCATTATTTAAACTTACTGAAGAAACGTTCCCTTTACGCCTTTTCTATGGAAAACGATTATAAATGCATCGAATTTCTAGGAATATTACTTATGATGTGATATATTGCAACACTCCTTAACATTGCAATTTACATAAAATGCATTTTCAAAATGAAAATTCCTTGCAATACTTACCCTTAATAACTTTTTATTAAAGTCGTTATCGATTTTGAGTAGTGTGTCCTGGTATAACCTACTTCACTGCCCGGGACGTGATATGCTGTACGCTGCTCAAACTCCTGATTTGAATGTTTGTATGTGTCGATGTGATATATAATGTATCCTGGATCATAACTGGTAAGTTATTTCAATTTATATTTATCACTATTGTTGGCCCGGATGTTAGCGCGCTGGCAGTTTTAGCATGGGAGGAAACAAACAAGTAACTTGATCTCGGGGACTCCCAGCAGAGTCTGTATGGAGTCCGGCCCCCAAGAGGGACCCGAGGAAACCAGAGACGAGTGGCAATACGCAGACTCGGCTAGCAGGCAGAGCGGGCTTCTTATTGGCTTTGGCACGGCAGAGACGACAGAGACCCAAGACACACAGCGACCCACAGGGATCACTGACCACTTCTGTGGACCCACCAACTTGAGGATATACTGGTTAGAGGGTCGAAACATCCAGTGACAGTTGGAAACCACCTGAGGATGTCGCAGAGTCCTACTGGAGTCAAACCTGGGAACCACGTCAGACAGGCAGAGAATGACATGTCTATCGCAGAGATCATCAGCTATAAATAAGTCATGAAATGCGTAACAGGTTCAAAACTATATACAAAATTTTTCAATTGAAAAACAGTACCTGTTGAAGGTCATGTAAGGTTATAAACTTTATCACGTGATGATTCTGGCAAATATCATTGCAACTTATGCGTATTTGTTTTCATGTTACAACTGCAGTTGGTCTTTTCATTGAGGTTAGTTCGATGGGGTCCTCAACGAGATTGTGAATGAACTTAATGAAAATGAAAAAAAAAAAAGATATTTTGTTTCACGGTAACAATAGAATTAATTCCTTAGCCCGTTATTTAATGTATTGCGTCGTAGTCTTCTTCAGGAAAAACTGATTTCTCAACCAACAAAAGGTAGAGGTTTTTGACTACGGTAGCTGATTTGTTCCATTTCGCTGTTTCGCCATTTTGGGGTGAAAAGATGAGAACTAAAAAAAACTTAATTGTCGTCATTTCGTCTTTTCTGGGTTTCGTGGCGAAAAGACGTGAATTATAAAATCTTGTTTCTCGTTTGGATTTTCGTGGCTTCGGGGCAAAAAAACAAGAATCAACAAATCTGAAGTCTGACTCCGGAGTAGTTTCTCTATATTGTATTTCTCCTTCTTCGCGACAATGGCAATGCTGTTTTTTTTTTTATTATTAAGCTCTGATAATGTGTAAAGTATTATCGGTCAATATTGTTCATGGTAATGAAAGAAAAAATATGCCACATAAAACTTGCTTATATAGTAAGTTTCGCGTTAAATCGCGTTATGATGCGTTGAAAACGAGTTAATTTCGCGTCACATTACGAAAGTTTCACGTTANCCCCCCCCCCCCCCCCCTAGCACAAAATCAGTAGGCTTTTCGAACATCCAGAATAAAATCGTCAGCTTTAAGAATGTTTCAAAATTAATTATAAACAAAATATCATCTACATATCAACGGATTCCTCATCTAAAAGATCAAAATAATCCGTAGCATGCATGTAGTTCTTTGCTGCCTGACTTAAATATACTCCTACATATATTTGTTTTATACATGTATGTTCTAGATTTATTGATAATAAAAAGCACAAACAAAACATACAGCACTCCACATACAATGTAGCACACATTACGGTTACACATTAAGTAAATCTAGGCATGCAACAGAAATTTCTACAGTGATACAACGGGCTGAATTGTTCAGCGAGCCAGGCAGACGATCGTGTGATTTTTACAGTGTTTTTTTTAATTTTTTATAATACTTCTAGATACGGATAGACCATAGCATTAATAATTATCATGTGCCTGAGGTAAGTTTTAAACTATCATTTTTAATTAATCATAAGTCTTCTTACTATATATTCACCCCTGCAGTCCCCGGTGCAGTTCCTACAAGTTTTTGTAAAGATTTTTTTCAGATGCACTATACAATATAGCTTATACATTAGACCAACAAGTTTGAAATTTAAATCAGACACCCAAGATATCACAATTATAATTTTCTCATGTTTTCTATACTGTAATGCAATATATACATGTCTTCTATACATATCGAGGCCGTGCTCGACATTTACTATAAATATATGAATGATTTGCATACGATTCGGTTCATGTTAGTTATAACATTTTAAAATAATTATCATTAAAACATCTTAAGTGTTAAATATGTCGTAAAAATAATCAACACAGTTTTAATGGATGTCGTGTGTTGGCCGTGCACGCGTCCTTAATCGAACTTTGGACCTACCTTAAAGACTGAGTCATGCATCCTTAATTAATAGACTTTGGACCCGGCGAACACATGTTTAAAGACTTGATCATACAAGCGTTTTAAATCTAAGTCGATTTTAAGGAACAGAAATTCAAGCGTTTATTTCACCCGGAAGTGTTTTCAAAACGTGCTGTTGCGACAACAATCTTGCAGAAATTTCCTTGTAGATTGCGTAATATTTCTCCTGTATATAAAAGTATGTTCGCTGTAATGTAAATCATTGGAGGCGGTACCGAGCTGGTGGACAGTTTACATTATAACACCGTGGCAAGCAGTAACGGTACAAATTCTATATCAACGGTTTTAGTAATGTTTCTCGTAAAAATGGGAAACGGGTGTGGGGGGAAGGGATATAACTGTGCAGTAGAGAGAGGATGAACAAGGTTAATCTCAAAAATATTTCCATGAAATAAAATATAACCAAAAAAAACCAACAAGTTGAGGTACACGCAATGTTCCGAAGTCATGTTTAGGATATGGTCTGCAGCGTAGAAAGGGGAGGTAATTCAACCCGAATTTAGCAGTTTGGGAATTAATCATCAAATACCCATTTTAGCAGGATTTTAAAGAAAGACGTCACGAGTAAGATACACCAGTCTTAGCTTGATCTATTCTGTAATTAACAGAACTATTTATAATTTAATGGCATTGGCAATGTTCATATGATAGTTTAATGATTTGTTAAAAACTTTTGAAAATATTTATGAATCCAATTTTAATGTTTACTGTCAGAGGATTTTTTTTTGTGCTATAATAGTTTTGCACAAAATAAATAAATATTTTGTAACAAGAATTGGGAAGTCGGTCAGCAAAACCTGAATTAGAACGATTGCAATTTGAATTTGAAATGCTTTAACTGTCAATTTCCCTGTCTAGTTCTGCTAAAATGTGACACATTTTTTTTGGTCAAATAATAGCACAGATACATTTTATTTGTTGTGTCAACTCTTATTTTGAAATTTCAGATTGCTGATGGAAATTAAGTGTTGAAGACTGAAATCAACTGGAGACAGCATGTGAACTGTGCCTGAGCATTTCATACCACAACTGATGTTGCAGTTTTAGGAGGTTGCAAACCTAGTTGCTGTGTTGACCAGAAATTAAAAGCATTTCAAACATCCTCAAATCTTACTACAGAATTACTTTAGACTTTATATTAGAAATGTCGGAGTATGAGAGCATTCTGCATAAGATTGGTTCCTTTGGGCCATATCAAAGGCGTGTGTTTATCTTGGTTAGTATGTTCGAGACCCCAGCAGCCTGGGCCATGCTACTTCCGATAGTTCTTCATGCCACTCCTGATTGGGAATGTCCAATTTTTGGACACGGCAATTCCTCAACCTTTAACCTGTCTGAAGCAAGTAATTCCAGTTCATTCACTGTCAACGAGTGTCTCCCCGACGGAAGTCAGTGTCCTGGACTACAGTTCACAGGGCCGTTCTCATCTATTGTCAGCGAGGTAAAGATTCTAATGAAGAATAGGCTCTTTATTTTAATGACTGAGGAACTTGTCTGGTTTGTTTGCTGTTGAACAGGTACATTTATGTAGCTCAAATTGATCGTCTGAGCTGATTTCGGAAGGCCCGCATTCAAATCCCAGTCTGGCCGATGCATTATTCCCTTCTGTTACATAGTAATGGAATATTCTGAACTGAAATCTTACACTCAAAATTGTTCAAGATGACCTTTTTGCAATTTATTTATAAAGTCCATTTTTATTATGATTTTTAAATAAAGCTGTGTTTGTTTTCTAATTTTGCAAAGTGAGAACATTCTTTAAGTTAGAATAATAATTACAAAGTTGGATCAGTTTTGGATGGCAATAAGGTGTAGAGTGCTTGAAAACATTTCTAATCTTGTGTGTTAATTGAAAAAGAGTGTAAAAATATATTACGTCTGTCTCTTAATTAATGTTGCAGCAAAGGAATGTTGAAAGACGATCAAATGAATAAACGATAGTTACTTTTATTGAGGATTTTGGTTCAGTCATTATTTTTAATGTCTTTGATTGGTATGTTTCAGTGGCAGCTGGTCTGTGACAGAAAGAATTTGACAAAAATCATCACTACGATACAAATGTGTGGTGTGTTGCTAGGAGCACTAATCACAGGCCAGTTGGCGGACATCTTTGGACGACGGAAAGTGTTATACCTGACCTACATATTTATGCTAGTTGTCTCCTTAAGTAGTGCCTTTGCTCCCTCCTGGCAGGTGTTTGCAGTTCTGCGATTTTTCATCGGTGGATCAGTAGGAGGTAAAAGCTTTCTTTTGTTTCTTCATGAATATACTTGTATTTTTGCCCATTTATCTATTTAAGTAATATGCATCCAAATATTTGTTCGTTCAGATTCTGTACTAATTATTGGATCATACAGTTGTCATTACTTATGAGACCTATCTAACATACATACAACCGTCATATTAAAAGAAAAACCTGGAATGTGATGACCTTGACCTTTGCTCTTCCAGGACATTTGTCCGAAGGTCACTGTTACAATCCTATAATTACTAGAGGAAGGGAGGAGACCTAAGAACATTCTTTTCCTGGTCTATTGTAGGTGTGATGGTTGTGAACTTTGTGCTGCCACTAGAGTTTGTGACTCCCAGCTGGCGGACATTTTGTGGCTGTGTTGGGTTCTGGGCCATAGGACTGATGACTCTTGCTCTGTGGGGGTTTCTCATACGTGACTGGAGGACCCTCGTCATAGCAACAGCAGTCACTGGGGTACCCATGCTGTTTTCATGGAGGTAGAGAAATCATTAAGATACATTTGTTGTAGACATATTTATTTTGTCAGGTGTAACTTAAGAATCTTTTTTTCATTATAATTAGTTGCTTTCTATTGGCAATTCTATAAACATATATATTTCATTTGGTGTAGGCATCTTTCAATATATCACAATTATTTCATGATTACCAGAGTTTGACACTTATACTAGCCCTCTTGGCCGAGACTAGTAGATTTCAGCTAGAACTAGTGAATCGCCAAACTTAACTTGTATAACAATTGTTAAAACAGTATCGTCTGATTAACATAGGTTATTAAATGAAAATATTCCTTTTGGACAACTGCATAAAATATAGATATATTGTATGAAAATTGCCAAAAATTTCCTAAAACTTCACCATATTTTTTTGAACAATAATTATGTCAATTGTTATGTTTTGTGCCAGAAATCTTTTGACTTGTACATTGACATATATACATGTAGCACTAGTAATTAATCCACTCAACTAGTCCTGTGGACTACCAAGCAAAACTGTTAGTGTCTAGTGATTACCATGAAATTCGGTAAATACAACCATGTCATATAGTTTGTGTTTTATGTATTATATAACCTACACTGCATGGTCATTAAATGATAATGAAATGATGTCTTAATGAAGAAAAAAAGACAAATACATGTACTTACAGAATGACATGAAAAGTTATATCTTTTTCAATGTTCAAAAAATTTCTGATTATGTTATAAAGGGATATTTTGAAGATTGTTTCCATTTCATATAGAATTGATGAAACTTATCAAGAAAAATAATTCCCCAACTTTTTTCATCAATCTCATATGAAATACATACTTGTGTGAGATCTAAAGCTATGACATCAGCTACCTTTTCAAATTTTGTTTTCTGTAAGCTTTTGAAGAATTTCTGTGATTTTGATTTAGATAGATTTTTTGTCTGATTAAAAGTCACTATACAGTTGTTTGTGATTACTACAAGAAACATTTCATCATCGTGTTCCATTCTTGGATTGTTCAGCTTTGTAACAGAAAGTCCTCGCTGGTTGTTAACTAAAGGAAGGGTAGCTGAAGCTAAAGTTGAGGTCCAGAGGATGGCAGCTTACAACAAGGTCACACTGTCGGATGAGGATTTGGAACAGCTAGACATTTATACAGAGGTGATACTACATACTGCTCATTTTGCATAAATCCTTTGTTGGTATTCTAAACTGAACATTAAAAAAAAGAATTAACAATTTTCTTACCATAATGCTTTCCAAATTTTTTCTCCTAAACTATCCGTTCTTAATTCTCACTCTGCTTGAAGTGAATCTAGTATGCTGCTTCAATAAATATTTACCTGGTAGCAAATTGTCGACAGCCATGATCCCTTCAAAAGTTTGTTGGGAGTAATTATAACATCTAGGATGATGGCTACAGATTATCTCCCTTGTTTAGTTTGGAGCAGGTGGTGCTTTAATTCTGCTTAAAATAATGGGTGTTTTTTTTCTCACTATTTGCAGAGAGAGAAGGAGTCCTTGATAGAGAGGAAGAAGTATAGTTATCACGACATATTTAAAACCAGGACCATGCTGAAAAACACACTCATTGTTATGTATGGATGGTAAGTGATCACAAGAAAATTATTGTAAATCAGTTTATTTCTCTAAAAACTTATTTTCAAATCTATATTTATTTATTTTTATTGTGGCACAAGCTTGGTGTATTATGGTTTGACCTTTGACCCTAAATAATAGGTTTGTGTCAAGCTTAAATTTAGTTTGACATTTGGCCTTATGTTACAGGTTTGTGTCCAGCTCTGTGTATTATGGTCTGAACTTTGACCTTATATTACAGGTTTGTGTCCAGCTCAGTGTACTATGGTCTGAACTTTAACACCAGTAACCTCGCTGGTGACCTTTACATCAACACATTCATAGCAGGTCTCGTAGAGATCCCAGCTCTCGTTTACGTGATCCTTGTCAACAACCGACTGGGGCGTCGCTGGACCATAGCTTCCCTTATGACCCTGGCTGGCATTTCCTGCTTCGTCATCCTCATAATAGATCTCACAGGTAGGTTTAATACCTTGTAAAATTAATCACAGGTAGATATCTTGACATGTCCTTCACAGGTAGAAAACTTCTAGTTCTAAACAGTATGTTACTGTCGCAACGAAATGAATAATGGTTTTGGGCTTTAAGTGTGTTTCTGTCTATCTGTGAAATACTCCTTACCAGGTATACTCCACAATAGCATCCTTGAATTTATCAGATTTTCATGACCCTTGCTTAGCAAGTACGATTTACACAATATAAGATGAAGTTCAATAAATCGATGACTAAATAATCAGCACACCGCTTATTCCTTTCCAAGCAAACAACCATATACATGTACCTTCTATTTCACAGAATTTCCATATAGTTTATTTCTTAGGTGACTAGCAACTAAGTTATTCATATGTAGATGCCTTGCCATTTCAATCATTTATAGATATTAACTTGTCCAGTTATAAAATATTTGGATGTGAGGGCAGAAAATAATTGAATCTGATTTACTATATATTCTCAACACATTTGAGCACCTAGCTACTGACATTTTACTTAGAATACTAATAAAAGTCGGTGTTATTTCTCAGTTATAAAATGTGAGCAGGGCTTTAGCATCTTCATTGCTGGAGTTTTTCTTGTTACAGGACATATGGAATCCCTTCAGGTATTAGTTATTGTGTTTGCTATGATTGGAAAGTCTGGAATATCAGGAGGATGGGCGGCCATTCAGGTTTCATCAGCTGAGAACTTTCCAACAATAGTAAGGTATGTATCCACTACCTGATATTAGAGTTGTCATCAATGTAAAGTTATGCTGACAGAATATCACTGTTACTTAAAATAGAAATGTTAGAAGGTCACTGTTACTAAAAATAGAACTGTCAAGTCACTGTTACAGAAAACAGAAATGTCAAGTCATTCTGACAGAAAATCAATGTTACTAAAAATAGAAATGTCAAACTGTTCTGAAAGAAAGTCAATGTTACTAAAAATAGAAATGTCAGAAGGTAACTGTTGCTAAAAATAGAAAAAAGTGTATTACATTTCTTACTTAAATCATTTTTTAATTTCAAATTCTGATAGCCTGAATAAGATAAGCCTGTTGCATATCTTGATCGGTTGATGGTGTCCATGGAATGCTACTTACAATGTATATGTACCCCGTGGGGCATTTGTTTACCTTTCGATGCTTAAGATTTTTTTGAGATTTTAGGAAATTGTAGAATGTACCATCTTTTACTGATACAAGTGGAAGTCTTGAAACAGGCTTTTTTGAAATTGTATTTGTCCACCCGACATTTGACCAAAGAAGTATATGTCTTTTATCCACAGAAATCTAGGAATTGGAGTCTGTTCCATGGCAGCACGTATTGGAGGCATTGTGGCCCCACAGATTAATCAATTGGTGAGTTGGCTTCTAATTTCCTCTTCCTATAAAACTCAGCAATTTATAATAGGGCAGACAGGACAGTGCTTTTCACACTACCTTTTTGAAGTAGTGCTCTCAAAACAATCAAAGTCCATTCAGGCCTGTTAATTAATAGTCCGAATTATTCTGACGTTTTAACGACTTTTTTCATATCGGTCTGTCGTCGATTAACGTCCGAACTCCGGCCCTCTATAATATGCGGGAAATATGCGCCCCGCGCCCGGAGCGCACTTCAAACTGATATTTTAGAAACAA